GTCAAGGCTTTCTCTTGGGTCATTAGGTCTTGAGGATCAGAACCTGAGATTAAAACTTAGACAACTCTGATTTAGGAAACGTATTGCATATAGACGCTAACACGCACAAACACACATACTTATACAATCGAGCAAAAGTAACTGGACTAGTATGAAAGATAATTAACCAAACCACTCTATACCGATCTATATAGATTTTCTAGGCTCAATTGAGTCTGTATAAGAAGTAAGATAGAGCCGGATAGTATTCTCGCCCTCGTGTTAACGTGAGACTTTTACAAAAATGACACTCAGATGTGATGATGTCCATCGAATGATGGACGAAAGCTCAGCACGTTTTCACTCAAAACGAGGGAGGAAGTCTTGTGGACTGTGTCAAAATGAATATCGTAAAAAAGCCAAACGGCTGCAGTACAACATGACTCATTCGTCCTCATCTGGTGAGATCGACCAACGAATCTCTTCTTCATTCACTTTCATACGAAATGAAATTCCCCCTAACAACGCTTAAGACAACTCTGGCAAGACAAGAATAGAGCAAGGCCAGCAAAAAGGAGAGGCCTGGATCAGGAATCTTTCGCTAACCGGAGGATAAGGGATCGCGATGAGAAAAGGGGCGGCATGTATTTTCGGCAATCAGGCGAAGACGTTTCGAATAAACCAGTACAACTTTTGGGGCCTGGCAGTCAAGGGGCCGGGCAAACGGATAAGTACAACGGTGATATAAATTCGGCTTATGGCCAGAATGTACTAGAAATCCACTTGAGACCCCGCATGTGACCAGAGGTAGTCATCCGGTTTGCTCAGGTAACATGGGTTTAATCAAGGAGGAGAGCCATGAAGGCGGCAGGTTACGTGCTTCTAGGGCCTTGAAGAATAGCGCCTGGAGTAAAACGCACACTGGGAGTGGAACCGTGTGAAATCGGCAAACCGGAAAGATAAAAAACTGATCTACGGGACCATGGCTGAAAAAGAGGGGGCGAATATTGTGTGATGAGGCTACACTAAATTTGCCAAAAAAGGGCACACCTTTTGATGAGTGGAATGTAAACAAATCAGAAGTTGTGATAGGGCGGCAGTGGGCTGAGGGTAAAGAGTTAATAGATGGGCCAGGATAGAAAGAGGAGTGTTTGTGTAACCCTTTTCGGCAGAACGTTAGTCGAGGGTTTGACTTCACTTGTCGCTTTGACGAGTTCGTAGCTTGGTACGGGGAATGACAGCACTCACTGATGATGCCGGCGAAACGTTTGAGAATGTACCAAGTCCACAGCTGATGCTGGGAATCATGGCAACTACTATGGCAGACGACTTCGGACTAGGTGCGTTCTACTAAGTCGCCCTGACCCACTTCTATAAATCGAAGAGAGACTGCGACGATAACGAGGGCCACACCATTTTGATCTTCATATCTTCGCTTAAACTCACGAATTTTAGAATTTGTTTGAACTTGTTTCCGCAACTTGGTTATATTGGCAGGAAGACCTAGAAGAACGCGCTTAGTCCGGAGTCCATTGTATGCATGATAATTTCCAAAGTCGGACCGTGGACGTAGTACATTCCAAGAGTTTCGCCGGCAACCTAGTCGTCATCCTCAATGAGTCTTGCCATTCTTAGCATCACAC